CAGCGCTCGTAGTTCTCGCGCTGTTGTAGCACTTGATAGCGAAGCTTGACTTTTGATGGGCGCCAGCCGACACGATTGCCATTGTTCTGGGACATTGTAGACTTGAGATCGCAGACGTTGGATTCTTTCGTCAGCTTGAGAAGATGAGCAAAGACGTCCCTGCTCTCGGATGCAGTCTGTTGAACCTTGTCATGCAGAGCACTGGAGGGTGATTTGGTAAGCGGCAAGTCGAGCCATGAGTGCAGATCCGCCGCCCGTTGCACCGAGTACGGGTCGAGCATGTTCGAGCGTCGGTTTTCTTCGCGAAGGAAGCGGACAGCCGCTTGTAGACTGGCGACTTCTGCGCGAAGAGCCTCGTTCTCGCGCATGGCGGCCAAGGAGAGACTGTTATCGATGACAACACCGTCCGTCGTGGTTCCAACTCCTGTTGTACCGGAGAGTCGTTTGACCCGCTCAAGCCGATTCTTGAGCTCCTCTCGCTCCGCTTCCAAGGCTTGCAGGTCCTTGCGTTGTGTCTCAATGACACCCTCGAGGTCCGCTTCCTTCGCCTGCATCTCCTCGATCTTGATTTCAAGGTCCTTAACCATGGATGCTTTCTTGGTAGCCTCACGCATTCTGGATTCTACCAGTTCTACTCGAAGAGCTTGCTCCTCAATTGTTTTGTCCTTGACGCCCAGGGCTGTCGACGCTTCATGTATCTCATTCTTGAGCCGACGTATTTCCTCATCCGCGTCTGGAGAGTTTGTCTTATTCGACTTGAGCTCCGCAGCTCTTGCAATCCATGGGGCAGGAAGCCTCTCAAACTCTGTGGTGATGGATAGATCGGATGAGATGGCGTCCAGCTCCTCGAGGAGGCCACCCAGGGTGCGTAATCGATTATAGAGTAGAAACATGGTGTCATTGCTTTCGGATCCTGGTTCCGACGGTTGACAATAAGCTGTGGAGGTCTCTGACATCGTCTTTGATGCCTCTTCGATAGTCAGGGGTTCGGTTCGAGCCTCATCGCTAATGAGAATCGCCAAGTTCTCCCCAAGCTGACGTGTCAAAGCAGAGAGCTCCTTGGAAGATTCTTCGGCGCTCTTGAAGGGCCCGGCAACATCTTGTGATAGAGACAATGATCGCGATTTAAGGTCTTCGAGTGCACGATAAACCTTGCCAAGGGCAACTTTCAATCCCCGGGCTTGGGACACAAACCCATCCGCTTTGGTAAAGAGCAAAGAGCACTCCTCATCGCCTTCCTCCGGAACCGTGATCTTTGACTGCAGCAATGTCTTTAACCGTGCCATGCAAGATGCAGCATGATCAATATAGGACTGCGTCAACGATGAGCGCATGCAGAGTTCATCCGCAAAAGCCTCGAGGCACGTAGGAAGAAGGGTTTCTGCGAGATGCGAAAGCAGTGCGATGGATCGCTGTAGTTCTATAGCGCACTTTCTGAGGTTCAGATCATTTTTTTTCAGACATTCCATCCAGAAATTCAATGTGCGCTCCACTGGCTCCATCTCGAACAATGCCCCTTTGATGCTCTCGAAATTCTCCGTAGAGCAGCTAGTGATATAATTGACAAACCGGTCGCTGAGAGACGAGATATACAGGAGCTTCTCAAGCACGTCGTAGGCGACGAATATGTCATCGAGAGCTGTCGCTATCGAGGCTTGCTCGGATACGKTTTCACGTATAGTGTTGCTCATCAGAGTGGCCTTGAAGCTGACCCTCTTGAAGCGCAAAAGGGCCAGAATTGAGTCTCGCTCTTCTTCAAAATAGTCGGGCAAATAAAGTTTGAGAATGGATAGATGCTGTATGGCTTCCTCTGCGTTCATACGGCCTAGTTCGATATCAATTGTCTTTGTCTGCGTCTTGGCCATCGACGCCTGGAGTTTCCTATTCAAGTCCATCATGGCTCGCGACCGCGTCGTAAGATCGTTCGCCTCGGCTTCTGAAATCTGCTGAGATGCTCGCATATCCTCCAGATCCCCTTGTAAAGTAGAGACCAGCTCCCGAAAGCGGACCAGAGTGTATTCTAGATCTTCAATGACTTCATCTTGCTGAGAGATCTTTCGGCATTGTTCGTTGAACAGGCTTTCCCGATAATCAATCTCTTCCTGCAGTTGCTTTTCTGTTTCAATGTGGTTGTATTCAAGCTCATCGTTGATCTCTTTCAAAGCCTCCAAGTCTTCGATAGCAGCTTTGAGCTCGTTGATCTCTTCTTGGTACCGCATATTCTTGTCTGCGAGCTCTTCTATCATCTCTTCAGCCCCGAGTGCTGTCTCCAGCTGCTGCTTGAGATCTTCAACATTATTCTCAGATACAAGCAGCTTCTCTTTTGTTGCTTCGTACTGGGATTTGATCGCAGCATAATCCTCCAAATCCTGCTGGAGTTCCTTGATCTGATCTCGTAGCTCCGATTCCTGCTGTTGGGTCATGTCCCGGAGACGAATCAAAGCTTCGCGGAGGCGCTCATTTGTCTTTTCCATTTGGAGCCATCCATGGCTGGACTTCTCTTCAGGGCTCATGACCTGGCCCAGCTCCTCATTCTCTTCCTTTAGGACATCCAGCTCCAGTTCAAGCTCCTCAACTCTCGCCCTTAACACGGCACACTCGTGCTTKAACGCATCGGCTGTCTCTTCGGCCATTTCACGGTCCAATGCTGCCATTTCCAAGATTGATTCATGCTCCGCTTGGAGACGCTCGACTTCCTCAAGCTTGGCCTCTGTATCTTTCAATTTCTTGCGCAATTCTCCAATCTCAAGCTGTTGCGGTTGGTATTTTGCTTGCAGCTTCTGGATAATGGCTTCGAACTTGTCCCGCTCTGACTGTAGTTTCTCTAGGGTCTTAAGCTTCTCTCGGTCCTCCGCTCGTTTCTTCTCCATGACCTTGAGCTTTGTCTTCATCTCATCAAGCTCCCTCGCGACTGCAGTAGAATTGCTCTGTGCTTGCCGTTGCGAGGAAGTTGTAAGACTGGGGCGGCCGCTAGCCGGACGCGTCGAGCTCGGTGCTTTTTCAGATACCTTGCGAGTAGGTGCCTCGTTTCCGTCCATGTCAGGCTCAGCATCGTGAGGATCTATCTCAGGATCTTCTGAATAAGCACTTGTGCGGCTTTCTGTTTCCTCCGATGACTTGTTAGGGGCGGTTGGGCGCAGTGCAGGCCGCTTCAATTGTCCTGAAGATGCTGTTGGTCCACTTTGAAGACTTGGTCTTCCCGCCTTGCTGGCTGGTCCTGATATAGACGATCGAGATTGGCGAGAGGCGGCAGAGGGAGGCGGAGGAGGGCCCATCGACGTCTTTGGTCCGGACAAAGGGCGGGCTTTTACTGCGGACGGCCGCGAGGGACCACTGATGGACGAGCGAGTGGAAGAAACAGGGACGGCGGGGGTCGATGGAGACTTGACCGGCGATTTTAGAGGCGACTGAACCTGCGACATGTTAGCAGTCACCAGAATATTGGCAAGCATGGACCAATCTACCCTAGACGTCCGCTGCGATGCGGTCCGCGAAGTTGGCGACGGGCTCGCAGCACTGGCGCTATGTCTTTTGGCATTGTTCGCAGGCAAAGCGCTGGGTCTTTTCATGGCAATTCCACTTGTTGTAGAACCAGTCTGAGCTCGTCCTCTGTTCGCTGGAGCACTGGCGCCGCCCCTGGGAGGTTGTTTCGTCTCCCGCACAGGCTGTTCAACGATAGCCGCAATAGCAGACGGTCGTATAAACATTCCAAAGCCTGGTTCACAGTCGAAATATCGTTCTCCTTGAACGGCGCCATCGTTTTTCCCTGTAGGTTCATCCAGCTCAATACCGACCCAATCGCCAGCAGCAAAATGCGTAGTCCCAATAAACCGGACGGTGGCCTGCCGACCGTCGGTCAGAGCGACTACATGGCCAATAAATAATTCAGACATGGCACAACATTCGGAATGAGAGCTCTTGCTCAATCAATGGCCAATGGAACTCCGGTTGCAGGCCTAGACTAAGGGCCGAGGAGATGCGGTTGTTGATGTGTTTGTTGCTTCCCGAGCCTCAGGACGCGACGGCGCGTGATTGGTTGATCCTGGGGCCTGAGGCATCAGCCCCTGAGTCATTTAGCCAGGGTGCCTAAACCATAAAGCGCATTGGCCGGAGCGTCCACAGTCCAATTTCCTTAGTGCTTTCGACTACAGAGTAGTTCCTAGGTAGACTATGTAGACTAGGTAGACTACATCGTCGCCGCGAATCATCCGTCGGCGCATTCCGGCAATCTACCCGAAAGAAGTTACTGCGCAGTCCTCTACCACGAAACTAATGTCAACAAAATCGCGGTGGCAAGTTGGGAACACCTGCGCCGCATCTCGATCTGGCAGCTTTTCTCCAAAGGACAGAAAGCACATTCCTTGCGGGTCGTTCGATTGTGGAAACAGACCATTCGCTATGAAAGTGCATCAAATGGTTTACCGACCTTCGTCCTTGGTACACCCTGGCACTGGCAGACCCTGGATGACTCGTTCGGAGTCGTTTTCTCTCGAACGGCCGAAACCCCTGTGGGACGCTATCAAAATGCGTCTAAGCGATGCTTAGCTGCTGAAAGACCATGTAGGCAATTTCGCATGGTCCGGACTTAGCCTCAAAAGGGTCCTCTTGGACTGGTGAAGTCGCTTTTCGGGCCTTGGCCGTGATATCCACACTATCACAAGCAGGCAAGAGTCCATTACAATAGTGGCTAGGATACCCTGTTGCTCTCACTAAATCACTAGACTAATTGTTTGGTACAGTCAATATCGCAGGGTTACATTGAGGAGACTCGCTGTATATTAAACATGTCTTCTCTTGGCGTCGAGGCCTTCTGGGTCCTCTTTCTCTGTAGGAGCCCCCGCTCTACATAGGATATTGTCATTAATATAAAGTGCGAAGCGGTTCCTATGCTTCCCACAGTTGCGTTCATTCTGGCTTGTCCATCGCTGTTGTATCATTCCTTTCCTGACAAGCTCGCTCCTCAAAGTCATCAGCGGAACTAGCAAAACAGGACCGCGAAAATGCGGCAGTCTCTGTATCACGGTGCAATCTGGTCTGCTTTAGTCGGTCTGGCATCGGCTGATGCTCCGTCTTCTCAGCAATGGGCTGAGAGAGCAATCTACGTTTGTCTTCCTTGAACATTATCACATGGGTCGAACGTCAAGCGTGACCGTCTCGGCTCAAAGTACTGACAGTGTCATCCTTGTAGCAAGTTATGACGGACCGCTTTGCTCGCCCAAAGGGCTCATCTGACGCACCTTGTGACCCCAGCAGGTACTGTGGAGGCTCGTGGAGCGGGATCATTAACAAGCTCGACTACATTCAAGACCTCGGATTCACCGCCATTCAAATCTCGCCAGTCGTGGAAAATATCCCGGACAGTACCAAGTACGGCGAAGCATATCATGGATACTGGCCCAAGAATCTGTATGCTCTCAATGAACACTTTGGGACCGCAGACGATCTTCGCAAATTAGTGAGCGAGGTCCATAGACGAGACATGTACCTAATTGTTGATGTTGTGATCAATGATATGGCTCAGGCTGTCAATGGTTCCATGAAAGATGACCCGTCTCTGAAGATTGACTATTCCCAGCTTTTCCCCTTTGACGACGAGAAGTACTATCATCCTTTCTGCGCCATCACTGATTGGAATGATCCTGAAATATACCAGAATTGCTGGTTTGCCGTGGAAACGGTTGCCCTGCCAGATCTGAAAACAGAGGATCCCTCGGTCGTCGCAAAGATCKGAGATTGGATCAAGCAATTTGTTGGTAATTATTCTGTTGACGGACTCCGCATTGACGCGGCGCTGCACATGAATGACGACTACGTCGCCAGCTTCTCCAAGGCGTCTGGTTTATTCACAATAGGCGAAGTCAGCAACGGAGACACAGGCCTGGTGTGCAAATACGAAAATTTGGTCTCTGGTGTCCTGAATTATCCACTCTATCAGCCCTTGATCCAAGCATTCACAGCAGGCAATATGCTTGGACTCTCTGAAAGTATCCGAGCTGTGCAAAAGGATTGCAAGGATTTCACACTTTTGGCAACGTTCGTGGAGAATCACGATCTCCCTCGCTTTGCGTCACTGGTCAATGACACGACGGTAGGTTGGGAGGATTACACTAGACATTTTATATTAGCTAACAGGTACAAATTAGTTGGCAAAAAACGCGATGGCTTTCAACATTCTCTCAGACGGCATCCCCCAAGGTACGTTCCTCGACAGGACAGCGGGAGTCGCCAGGCAGACGCTAATAACTTCAACCAGTATACCAAGGTCAAGAGCAGCACATGCAGGGCAACTACACGCCCTTCAACCGAGGGGCCCTTTGGACAACGAACTATGATACCACGGGCCCGCTATTCAACCTCACCGCAACGCTGAATAAGCTCCGAAACCACGCCATTAGCATCGACAACCGCTATGTGACTAACCATAGCATGGAGCTTCATGTCGACAATTCCACGTACGCCACCAGGAAGGGCCCCGAGGGAGTGCAGATCGTTTCAATTTTCTCAAACCAGGGCTCGAATGGTGGAAAGTACCAGCTTGCGTTAAAGGATGCGTATGCGCCTGGGACAGAAGTCATGGAAGTCCTGGGCTGCTCCAAGCTGGCTGCTAACGACGTAGGCAATCTGACAGTTGAGATGAATGCTGGTGAGCCAAGGGTCTTTTTCCCTGTCGCACAACTCAATAACTCTGGGCTGTGCGGCTTTGAGAAACAGAAGACCGTCTCGTCGAGCAACAGCAACAGTTCGACTCAATCCTCTAATAACGACAAGGGTAAGGATAAGAAATCCTCTGCGAGTATCACTACCGTTCCATGCCCTATTATTTTGATCACAGGGGCAGCATTGGCGGTTATGAGCTGGTTTCTCTGATTGGCATTCAAAGTCCTCTTGGCTCATTTTGTCTTTGTGTTGTGTCTCTACATACCACGATTATCTTCATTGCCTACTTCTTTCTTTTAATTGTGCTCATGGCACCCTTTCTATTCAATTCAAGATGTACATATTAATTCAAAGTTATTGATGGCTACAATTCGTTTCGTGCCAAGTCCTTGCGCCCATAGCATTGTTGATGTTGTGGTTACATATGTCCAAAATATACTAGACATACTCTCTGGACTAACCGTACGTGGGTTAGCCGTCCATAATTGATACACCCTAAGCTTCATTATTATTATCTTACCTTAAATCTTCGAGCATATCAACGTCTACATAATATCCTCCTTGTCAGTGATGTATTATCCCTTGCCGTTTTATTATCATCATCTCTGGCTGAAATTACATTTCCTGATCGCGCTCTTATGACATTCAGGAGGTTGTTTGCCATGTTTAGTAGTAGAGAAGCCTGGATGGTGAGTTTACGGAGAAGGGGTAAAAGAAGAAAAAGGAGTGAATAAGATGATGTGGTGATCGGGGTGTTGTGTGAAGAGGTGCCTGGCAGCCTCTAGGCTGCTTGGCCAACCTTTGCCAAGAGAAGGGGGGCATGATTTCAGTTATACAGTGTTATCAGACGCGATTATAAGTGGCTGTATAAGGAAGGAATCTCAGCATTGACGGAAGGTTGCCAATATATAAGAGATTCCTTTGATCAAACAGCAACCTCGACACAGTATGTCGTGAAGAAAGTCTACCACAGCCGTAGCAATTGAAGACACTGGTATGGCTCTAGGACCGCATGTGTGTATCCACTGCTACGACTATCCCACATGGAATTATCGGCTTGATTCAGGATATATCACCGATTCTATAATCAACTACCGCAACAGAGACCGCCATTGCGAGCCCAATCGCAGATGCTTCGTATATATTCATTAATCTAACAATATACATTCTACCCCTTTCTATAAACAAACGTCTGTCCGGTCTATCATGCGACATTAGCCTTGAAGAAGTGTGGGAACAGTGTCCGCAGCTCCTCAAGGCTTCGAATCATGTATTGCGAGGCGGGAATCCGAGGGATCGGGAGCGTCGGTTCGACGAGGTGGACAGTAGTCCAGCCACGTTCCGCGGCGTGTTTGCAATTCAAGTGCGAGTCATCTTCCGATTATCAGCATGATACTGAGAGAAAGTCAAAGGACAAAAGAAAATAACTTACCAACAAAGTAGCACTGCTCCGTGCTCGGCGCCCGGGCTTCAATCTCCGCCTTCTCATACATGTCCTGGGACGGCTTGCAGATGAGCGGCGGCCGCGAATAGTCGCAGAATGTGATGCCCTCGAACAGATCATCCACCTTCAACAACTTGATGACACGTTTGGCATGTGTGATATAAGCATTTGTGAGCAGCCACAGCCTCACTTTGGACGTGTCAATGTCCTCGAGTAACTTGCGCAATTTGGGATCCGGTTTGAGGATTCTGTCTAAGGGGAGGGCATCATCGACTTCGCGATTGAATTCAAGGGGGTCAATGGTGTGATGACGTGTGAGGCCCTGAATCGCAAGACCGTACTCCTTGTAGTATTTCTGGTGGAGCATGTGAGCGTCTTCAGCGGAGAGGGAGAGGTGCTTGACGAAGAACTGGTCTGCGATGGTGACTGAGTTAGATGGGTTCTTGGCCGAGTGCGTTCGTCGCGAGGAGGTTTTGAGACAACTAACGGATCAATGTCTGCATCTCATCATGGATGTTGCATTCTGCGCTGCCCATGTCAGTAATTGTCGGAGCGCTCGAGTCGGCGGGGGCTCCTGACCTCGAGAATAAAGCTGCGCATGACTCCATATCAGCCTGGGATCTGAGAAATGCAGCAGATAATACCACCGATGCATATACATACACAGTTATCTATGTCAAAGAAGAAAACTGGCCTTGGATCAGGATCAGGTACTGCGCCAGTGGGACATTCCGCAGTGGCCATTGTTCTCCGGGGGTGAATGATATCACAGCGAGAGATAAAGGGTCTATAAGGGAAAGATGAAGGAAGTGTAAATCTAGGTTGGATTCTCTGGCATATGCGATAAGTTCGTAACATCAAAGGAGTCATAGATAAAGGAGAAAGTAAGTAGAGTCACCCCCCGCGATGATTCACAACTAACGGCTACTTCGTAAATCCATACGCCCTGAATCTGCGGGAATAACCGCCCGCATTACAATTCCGTAGAGAGCTTAGCGTTGACCGCCAAAGGTCACGGACTCACAGTTACCTTACTACTCCTTAGGGAGTCTAGCGTAGTTTACAGTAATTTGTTCGGACTCGAAAGCTTGCATTCTGCTATTTTTTTCATTCTCCCTTGACCACGTCAAAGGCCAAAATACACCCGACTTTCCTGCTCTCAACCTTCCATGTTTCCTGTTGATAAGAGTGATCAACTCATCACAGGTGAACTAGGTTTAAAAGGGCTTTTGGATTTACAGATACTGGAAGTATCATATAATTTACTCCCATAAGCCAAACCTCCCGCCCGTGGAGCTTCAGCATTATGGCAACTCCCGGGTCAGCTCAACTTCAAGCTGGGGTTATATCAGCTAGCTTATCGGAGAGTGAGCAGGTGAAGGAATATGAGAAGATTTTGAAAATTAGCGACGACATCTTTACTGGTGCTCACCCTAGGTTGAAAGTTCCCCAGCAATTTGTGCGCAAGACCGCGTCTCGAAATGCCCCTAATCCCCCTACCCCAACAAGACAAGCTCAGGTAAAGACTGCTGGCGGTCAGATTCCTTTCCAGGGTAATCCATCTCAGTCCAAGCCAGCAGCTTCAGGAGTCGCAAGTGCGCAGACTCTCAAAAACAATGCGTCATCTGGTGTGACCAGCGCGCCTCAGCCTACGCGTATTGTTCCCAAACCTACGTCGGAGATTGATCCCATCTTCTTGACCAAATCCGATGATCTAGTTAGAGCGGAATTGCAGTTGCAACGACAGAGAGTGGAAAGGGCGTTACGAGAGCAGCTGGAACAAAAGAAGCAAGAGTCCCGGCAGCGAGCCGCCATGCAGGACGCGAAGCCAGACTTTGATGTCGCGGAAGTTTTGAACAAGGCCTTTGAGCTGGTTCCACCTTCACCATCAATCGATGTTCCTGGGCCCAATGGCATGGAAGCCCCCAGTGACTCGTATGATGAATCCTTCGACTCCAGTAGAGCCCCTGACTCTCCGATTCAGCAGAAGCCATCTTCGGCGCCTCTTTCTAATTCAGAGGAAGTTGCTACTGAAGGTCCAGTAGAGAATTACTCAGATGAGTTGCAACGGCTTGAAGCCCTCAACAGACCTGCGTCGGATCAGGAAATGCAAGATACTTACCCCGTTGCAGACCGTCCAAGGCAGTCCCAGCAGGCTCAGGTAGATCCCACGAACAACAACTTGCAGGCCATTCAACAGCAGGCAGATGCTTTCGAGGAACCCGAGTATTCACCTCCAGCTCCAGATATCCCGCCGATGGAAAGCGCAGACCTTCAACAACCGATCGAGCAGAGACAACCGCATACGGACAAGCGCAGTGGACAAGACCAGGAGCCTCCTCGTCCCCATCAAAATCGTCGCAAAACAGTATCACCTGGGGATAACGTGAGGGTTGTGCGCAATCATATCACTTCTCCTGCGGCACCGCAGCCGTCAAGAGTTTCTCCTCTGGCCATAGCTAAGGTTCCCACCGTCCATCACCACAAAGTCCCACCAGTAGACTACAGCTCTAACCCGATGCAGCATGCGAGACAGGATCTGCGGGCTGCCAGTCCTGAAATACCGCCCCAGCAGCTGATGCCGAGGAAACGTAGGAGACTACAGGAAGACAGAAGCCGACCTGGCCCAGTCTCTTACAGATCGCAAGCAGGTGGCAGTACCGAGGCATATATCAAGGAAGAGCCTGTCTCACCGCCGCCTTTTGCTGACACGCAACCCGCAATCCAGCCTCAAGAAAGGCCAATCTATATTGACATTGCCTCGCCTCGTCCTCCCTATACGCCAGTGTACGAGAGAATCGAGCCGGTGCGGGAGCCTGCATATGAGCTCGACCCTTATCATGAAGCGCACGTTGAAGCCGCATACCCAAGGACGGTGTCAAGGCTTAGCGTTCGGCGCCCAGTACGCGATGACCAAGATCTACGGAGGGTCGCAAGCTTACACCAGGCTCGACAACCTGAGTATGCTCGGGAGTACATTGAGAGACCCAGCTCTCGCTCGCTGCGCGCTGCATCCTACACTGTTGTGGAGCGGCCGCCGCAAGAAAGAGTCCGATACTATGACGAACCGCCCCAAACTTACGCCAGACACTACGCCCCGGCGGTTGGGTCGCCGACATCGCCGCGCTACCAAGAGGCCTGGATCGAAGGAAGTGCGACAGCGCCTCCACGGCGGATCTTGATCGATGAGCATGGGAATCACTATCGTGAGAGGACGCCACCGCCTAGAATGCAGGCCATGCCTCCACCCCCAGGTCGGATCCCGCGAGGCGAGATCTACGATGACGGCGCAGCACCGATACGTCCGGGTGGTAGCGTTCGAGCAGTCTCCGTTGTTGAGGATCCATATGGCGGCCGGAGATACGTGCAGGAAATGCCACCTCCGCCAGCAGCCTATCGACGGGTGACGGAATACCCTCGGCCTGCTCCGAGCGAACGGCGCAGTTACGTCACGCCACTGGTTGATGACAGAGAGCCTTATCCACGCAGCAGTAGCGTCCAAGTTGCCGGGTATCCTGCGACTCGTGCGACCTACGTTGAAGAGGCGGATATCCCGCGTGAGAGGATCATCAGGATGCCAAGTGTGCGTCCCCCTGCTGCTCGATACGAGGAGCCTCGGGAGATGATCCCGCGGATGGGAAGCGTCCGCCCAGCCGAACGAGATGTAAGTGTTTATGTAGACGATGACGCTCGACGGCCAAGAGAATATATCGAGCGACCTGTTTATGTTGCACCACGGCCTCTGGCGAGAGAAGAAAGGTACTATGAAGGGGAGCCCGAGCGGGTGGTGCTCGATGGGAGAGAGGCAGTTCATCGGGTTTCCCAGCGTTATTGAGCTTCAGCAGGAAGTCGAATCATGCCGGGTTGATTCATTTGCATGTACAGAGTATCCAAGTACCCAATCATCATCACAAGTTATTTACACTAACGCCCTAATGTACACTGTTTCAATCGAACATCAAAGGGTATTTGAAGATCATTTCCCACTAAACCATCACTTGCATCAGAAATACCACTACAATAGTAGAAGAATGACACGGTATTTTCCAAAACACGGAGGTTCATCATCTGCAAGGATATTGGAGTCGTGGTTAGATATTCTGCAATTCAAGGGAAGGGTCGCTAAGCTAATAGCTCAGGCCACATATTTGTGCATGATTCAAGCACCACAGCATACATCCATGCTGTGCGTTGCACTTGCACATTTCGACGATGCGCAGGATGCAGCTCCTCTGGAGGACTATAAAAGTCCCGAAGCGGTCTCTGCATCGGTGAGAATCAACAGGCAGAATTTAGTCTCTATGCCTTAATCATGGCGTGTGTTGGGCAGCGCACATTCCATGGCCAGTAACCCCTACAGAGTATGTTCTAAGGTAGTCATTTAAATAGGTATTCCGCTATGTACCGCCCCCTGGGCTAAGGAAGGCCTAACTATGGACGCGGTTGTGTCTGCTCGGGCTATATACTTGGTAGGTAGGCGCCAGAATGGATGAAATGCCCGGTATGCGGACGGATATGTATGCACCGTGCAGCTCGGACGCAGTGCCCCCAGAGGATTACTGGGACATAACCCGGGGAATAATATGCGCGGGATTGATTCCAGTTGGTTGATGCATGTCTAGATTAGGTTCTTGGGTTTTAACGAGTAGAGTTACCTAGGATACTTTCTGTGATGTACAGAGGACAGTACCTAGGGTAAGGTAGTCTGCTGTGAGACAGACCCACAACTAGCACTAGCCAACGATGACGTCGTTGATTCTAGGTCGATGAGGGACTTGGATTTGCTATTTTCCTTTGCCAGCAGATGATTTATAAGACGCATTGGATTTCTGTTCGGGGTCCTGGCCTCCTTGTTTAATGTACGAATACTGTCTTGGTCAAGAGCGATGCTTGCTGTTGATGGTGCCCAAGCATACCTTTGAGAGACATACCTGCTGGGGATGCCACGGAGGCTCAGGCAACCCTCCAATTGCGCGCTACAGGGTCCCTTGGCTTCGATTGAGTTGGCATGGCCGAATTTCATTGATATGATTGGCATTCTTCAGAGAGATCCGTGGTGCTACTTGATCAGGATGAAAAGTGTACCTAGGGAAGATGACCATGACACTTGCTGATGATTACGGAGAACAGGAAACAGGATCGTAATTCCCGAATCTTCGCTGCTCCTCTTGAAGGTACGGAGTAGAGAGGTATCTCATGCACTGTAGTGCTGATGTCCTGATTTGGGCTCCCCCTTCGAGTTCCGGGTGGAGCAACCATGTACTTGCGTTGGTTGTAATAATGATGAGATAGATGGGAACTGGTGACGCAAGGCCTGGTATTACCGGAAACTACCTAGAGAGGTAATTGTGAAACAGATATCAAAACCTCTTCCGACAGAAAGAGATCGTAGTGTTTTGTAATCAAATACGCTGTAAGAGAGGGATTCGAGTCCCACTTCCATACCTTCCCTTGAGGATCAGCCAGTGCGGCATGTTCGAGTGGCAAATCATGTATTACCAGCTGTTGAATAGGTACACTCGACCATCGACGGTAGTACCTTAGTACTGTATAAAATCGGCCAGGTAAACACGAAACAGCTCATGATGAACAAGGGATTCCTTCAATTCCCGAGCAAATTCAATTCGCTTGACTCGAGGGCCAGAACAACCGGGCGAGGCAGGAACTCGCGTGCACTGACATCTAGTTCCTTGGTAATTGGGCCAGATTTATGACATGAAATTGATTGATCAGTCGTTGACCTACAGGGAGCCATCCTCACATGTGGATGAGAGGATGTGGTCATAACATAGCATGTGTGCGGGAGTACAGACGCCGTCTGCTGAGCTGTCGATCTCAGCTGTTGCTGCAAAATACACGTGACGGCCATTTTCGCTTGGAAACCGCCAAAGGGAATAGCGTGTGGGCCGTGCAGAAAAGACGAATCCAAGAAGAGCAAGAGATGACAGCCCATAATCCGTACAGCCACACCTCTCTCCTAGATCAGTATGACTCTGTTGATCTGTTCTTGCGGATTTTAGATACTGGCTGTTTTGCAGAGTTTCGTATGTGAGAAAAAGGAGGATTGCCTCGAAAACAAGTATTATTAGAGCAACGGAAGGCACTCTGAGAGGTGCCTGAGGATATAGATAGGTTACTTGGCTCCTCTCCAAAAGCAGGAACCTTGAGAGCTCATGGACCTTCAGAATCCATTATCATCCTCACTATTATTATTATTGCAGCAATGTTGACCACAACGAGTCAACGCAGTCTACAAACATCATGATGATTATAATTGCTTTGTCGGTGATGAAACCGTACTTTGTCCTGAGCCACTCGTAGTCTAGACGCTGGACCAGACCTTTGACCCGCATCTTCCGCCTTAACGAAAGACAGACATGGGCCACTGGGCTGAGAATGATAGCAAATCTGTGAAGAGAGTCAAGATCAGATGAATAGAGTAGCTCAATTGTTCATGCTCTACTTTTTCTTTATCTACTATCTACTAAATAGTATTATCATAGGAAGAATCTTCCAGGGAGAATCGAATAGCAGAGTAAGACCCGTTTCCAGTCCGCCGTAGACCAACTAAGGAACCTGAATTCAGCCAACCCAGACCGTTCGAGGAAAATACCTTCAGCGCCCAGAGCTGTCTTCTTTCCTCTCACTCTTCTCTCGTCTCTCTTACTCACATTCTCACTTCTCTTCCTCTTCCTCTTACTCTTCCACTTTTCCCCATCTATTATCTTCTCTTCATTGACAATTCTTCCTTTCCTTTTCTCTTTTCCCTCCTGTTTTTCTTTCCCTTTCTCTTCATCTTCCCCATCTCCCCACTTCGATACCCTTGTCTCGTTGATCGAATTGCTTGCCTTTTCCCACCATTCCGGTTCCATAACGCCCTGTCCACCCACGCCATTCCATCCGACGCCGCCCTCCCCCAATCATCCCTGTCAAGAACGGCGACTTCATCCTTCTTGAGATCGATCCCTCCTCTCCTTTCTCTTCGCCAAATTCCTCCCGGATCAACTTCCGCCATTTCCCTCCTTCTGCTCCCTCTTCTCTCTTTCCCCTCGACTTGTTCAAGGGGTCAGAGATTCGATCTATTCTTGTCATGCACAAGATATCCAATTTTACGGGCCAGGCCCGTCATGGCTGGGAGCGGATGACGCCTACCTTTGGCATGTCCAGACCTCATACTGACATGACCTCCCACACTCTTCGGCGGCCGCACGGCGCTCCTCCTATGACTCCTCCCACCGGAGTCGATCCCACGGTCAACCTGTCCTTCAATGTCCCATTCTCCTCCACCCTCGCCGGTCCCGATATCGATGATGTGCTTCATGCGAGTCCCGGCGCCCTTCAGCGCTGGTCTTTTCCTGAAGGCACCCCAGAAGGCACCCCGGTCTACAACCTACCAGTCCACGCTAGCAACGTCGAATCTCTTCGCAGATTATGCCGTCAGATAACGGAGTCCAGTAACGGTCGGGTTGAAGCGGCGGTTACGTCTTCAGAACCCAAGTCGGTTCCATCACTGCAGAGGCGACCTCAAGGCTTGGTGACCAACGTCTGCATCACGGGTGACGGAGAAACTGTGCGAAAGATGCGGGCAAAAATTCTCAATGAGACCCCCATCCTACTGGTATGAAACGAGCTTTCGCTACAGAGTGTCATATCTAGGTGGTTGTAATATTCGCTAACTTCTCTATCCTCCTCAGCGCTGCGCGACCGTCGACGTGGACATACATCTCATTATGGATGGATCGACCAAGGGTGTTCGATCCAGTGTTCTGGAACACCTGGATACCTTGGCCGCCTACACAGGCACCGACATTTTCCTACTGAGCCCCAAGTTTCGTGATTCGGACAGTTCGGTGGTTTCATCCTATGGATACGCTTCGGACAATGGGCTGGATCATCGATTCCGTGTTTCCATCTACGGTGACATGGAGAGTGCTGAGCATGCCAAGACCAGAGTTTTGATCATGATTGACCAAATTGTAAGTTTTCCTCTCTGCAATAAGTATGATCCTCGGCACTAAGTCATCGCTAGCTCAAACGTCATGTGGATGCCATGAGATTGGAGTTGACCATGCACACTTTGGTCTGCGGTCGGACGCGCAAGAACATCAAGCTCATCGAAGCGGCTACCGGCACGGCAATTTACTTTCCCCCTCCCTTTCCACGGATTTTCGGCTACACTCCTCCGGGTGCCCATCGCCGCAGTGAAGATGAGGTGTACATCACGGGTGATACCCAGGAGCAGATTGCTCGTGCCAAACAGAAGCTGCGGGAGTTGGTGATGGGAGTCAAGATTTACGTCAAGGATGTCATCGTCAATTCCAACAAGATTGACAATGTTCTGCTTGACCGTCTCGACAAGGTCCGGAAGGTGATGGAAATGAACGGTTCATATGTTCTCTTCCCGCAACTCGGCAGCCAACGGGGTCTTGTTCGTATCCAGGGCACCGAGGTTCTGCACGTTGAGCGCACTGTGCGGGAGATAATGGCTCTGGTGCGTCGAGCCATGCAATCTCTGAAACCCCGTTTCGTTCACTTTCTGACGATTGTCTAGGCCGGTCAATTCTACAGTGCTTCATGGTGGATCATCATGCCCGACCCTTCCCAAGGCGGCTTCCGCGCTCCTTCTGCCGCGGACATCCGCACAATGTTGTCTGACATCTGCACCAATTCGGGCGCCGAAGTCAGCTTTGACAACCTGACTTTCACCATCAATGGGTCGGACGACGCGGTGAAATCCGCAATGATGGTTGTCAATCAAATTCCGTTTGTGAAGCGAAGCCAATACCAAATGCGCGTCAAGATCGAGCTTGCAAATGAGCATAAGGAGTTTGTCAGTGGAAAGAAGAACGGCAAGATCAATAAGATCATGGGCCAGAGTAAGTCTTCTTGACCGCTCCAACACACCGTTTGCAACATCTCATTGACCATCTTCAGGCAACGTTCAAATTATATTCGATGGCTTCAACGAGTACAACTTCTACATTGACGTCTGCGGCAATCAATATGAGTCCACGAAGAACGGTCTTGACCTTGTTGAGCAGGAAATGCCCGCTTCCATCTCTTTCCATGTGCCGGATCAGTACCACAAGCGGATCATCGGAATCGGCGGACAGCACATTCAGCGCATCATGAAGAAATATTCCGTCTTCGTCAAATTCTCCAACGCCATGGACCGCGGCGGTATGGGCAAGGAAGATGATGACATCAAGGTTGACAATGTCATCTGCCGGACGCCAGCTCGTAATGCCCAGTCTCTCGATCTGGTTAAGCAGGAAATCATGGACATGGTTGAGAAAGTCGTAAGTGGTCGATCTTGCTGTCGAAGCCCGTTAAGAGTTGGTCTTTCTAATAGCCATCCAGGATGCCGAATACGTTTCTGAGCGCGTTGTCATCAATCGTTTGTACCACCGTGAACTACTTGCCCGCATGACCGAGATCGATGAGCTTGAGAAGAAGTGGAATTGCAAGATCGAGTTCCCCAGCACAGAGCTCGCTAGCGATGTCGTGACTATTTCTGGACCCGAGTACCAGGTCCCTCAGGCTGTTGATGCCTTGCTGGGAATGGTGCCGGAGAGTCACGAACTTCTTTTCCAGAGCTCTCAGGAATTGCGTGATTTTTTCAAATCTGCCGAATTCCGCGAGGATGTCTGCTGCAAGTTGAAAGAACAATACGAAGTTGATACTTCGGTGGACGCAAACCCTGAGTCGCCAATTTCGGAGACTGGGTCGGCTTCCTCGACCTTCGCTCCCGAGGACCGTGTGGTGCTCGGGTACACGCGCAACAACGCCGGTGGGCTCAAGGATGCCATCGATTTCTTGATCTCCCGGCTTGTCGCCCATGGCCTTGATGCAACCACGGTCAAGGGTGCGATCCCGCGCCCCAAGTCCGACTCGTTTGAAGAGTCCCTGCCTTTCTTCGACTCGAAACTATTGCAGCATGCTCCCACGCCCATTGTTACCGACTCCCCCACCCGGCCCAACTTTCCCGATGAGACGAGCGAGCGTGGATCGATTTTCGAGAGGCTTCGGAAGCCCGGCAGCATCTCCTCGTTTTCTTCTTTCATTGGTCGTAAGAACCATTCGGCCTCTCCCGGTTCGTTCTTCAAACATGCATCCAGCAACGCGTCAAAGGCCTCTCTTGTTTCCATGGAGTCCCGAGACAGTGGCTACCGCAACCCATGGAATGACTCGGGTGTGAATCTGCCTGAGGACGACCTGCCTGTCCTTGGCAGTTCCCACAGCCACAGCAGCAGCACAAACGGTTGGCCAGCACGTTTTGATACCAAATTTCCGTTCGGTACCGCGCCGGGCGACATGACTCCCAAGCATGATCCCCGCGCATCTTTTGATAGTGGTCGTCCTAGTACTTCCAATTCTACTTCTGGATACCCGGCTCCTATTGGGCCACCGCGTTAAATCAAGATATCAGTTTGCAGCACTATACCCCAAGGCACTTGATCTGCTGTTTCGAGAAGTTTGTTTTCAGCGGTTTTGTTTTTCCTGTTTTCGGTTTCTTTCCCATTTGATACCACAGACAGCATGCAAGAGGAATCCTCAGGAGATCCCGGTTAGGACGAAAAAGAGCATTGGCTGCTCTGTTCTGAATTGCAAGACGATTTACTCCTGCGTCTTCTTTCCCAAAACCAGCCTTTCTGCTTTTTACTGATTCGTCTGCGTGCGACATGTTTGCTTTTCTTGTTTCGTGCTTAGTCCGGGGTGTGTGGAGAGACGGCAATGCCGATTTTGTCTTTTACATGGGAAACACATTGGAGGGTCGAATCTTCGTTCAAACATTCAATATATGATACCAAGTGGAATGATGGTGTATGGAGGTGTTTGCATGTCTGGTCTTTCTCTGTCTCAATCTGCTTTCTTCTCCATCATGGAGTTGGAGACTGGTTCTGTTTGACTGCCTGATGTTGGATCGTTTTATATACCTTGATGCACACGGATATCCCAAGACCTTGAAGTGTAGACAGAATACCAAGTGACTGCTTTTCTGATACTCGCTACCATCTCGGATTCACGTATTCCTGATACTGAGTCTTTTATAAATCCTACTTCATATAACAGGCGTAGCATACGTAAAGGTATATTATTATCCACTCACTTCCGGACCAACGAGAAAGAGCGCAAGTCTAACCCGACCCCGCAGACCGAATGATGCAGCACGCACATTACGCAAGGGGAATCACACAGAGGAACAAAACAAGAGAAAAGCGGGATATATCTATCGACAAGGTCGAATCCTGCAAGCGGGCACGCACGTGCATCTGGCAGTTGCCTCGACAACTCCGCGATAACGTGTGCATTGCATAGATCACTAGAAATGAATGACGGAAATAAATACCCGCGGAAGTATCAAAAGGCCAGACCAATGGTTGATTGGCGGTGATTGGGAGTCGAGTAGTAATCCAACTCGCTGTATGCGAATTGTTGTTGCTGGCCTTCGTAGATCGTTGGGTATGGTCTGTCGTCGGGGATGGACATGGATGTGGATGAGAGGGCTGGCGGGGCGTGAGAGAAGAGGGCCCGGGACGGAAAGGCCTCGAGATCCTTTTCGGATGGTAGACTGGGATTGAGGTCTTGGGTGCCTCGTGATGGGGGCGTCCTTGGACCTAGCCCTGTGGTGGTTGTTGTGCTCGGTGCGGAAGAGACGGCCGTTGAGCCGCTGAGCGTGCGTGAGCGGATGCGAAAGGCGCTTGCGCTGGCACTTGCGCTCCTTTCGGCGCGGGGTTTCCAGGGGACAGGGGGAGAGGCGGGGATGAAGGCTTTATTGCCTGTTTGGAGGAGCCATTGCGCGACGCGGCCGGTGCGGGATGGGGTTGGGGATGAGATGTCGTTCTCGGCGAGGGTGGAGGACGAGGGGTTGGGTGTAGATGTTCCTGTTGACGACGGGGTGTTGTCGGTAGGAAGAGGTGGTAACGGCCTGTCCTGCAGGGGAGTTTTGGGGGGTGTCTTTGGGGGCACTGCGATGGACGTGGTATCGCTGCGTTGGCGTTGGCGTTGGGGCAGTGACCCGTAGCCGGGCGACGATTCCAGCCTGTTATATGTTGGTGAGAACAAGGCCTCGCTGAGGCCGGTGGCGGTCGAGGTACGGGCTGAGAAATAAGGTATCCCAGGGCTTGTGATGGGAGATTGCTTGTCCAGAAGCTGCTCCAAGGCGGCAAGGGAAGATCGTCGGGACCCTGATCCCACGGGTTTGCGAGGTAATTGGAAGGATGAAGAGTGATGATGAGATCGTGCGCGGGAAATACGTGAAGGGTCAGTGGGAGAGACAAGAGCTTTTGCAGGCCAGGCAAGAGATCGTCGTCGATCCTCCTGTGAAAGAAAGTCGTCGAAGGTTGGCAGATCTGAGAGGCGGTTGCCGGGTGTGTGAATCTTCAACACGAGAGGTTGAAACTCCGCTGGACTGGAGGCAAAGGAATGGAAAGTCTCGACTCTCCTGAAGTCTGTTGGTGCACTGATCCTCAATGGAGTGGACTGCCGCTTGAACGACATGCTGGCCCTTTTGGATGCTCGGGAGACGACGCTTCTGCCTTCCGTTATCCATGATGGGAAGGACGAGGTCCTAGGCGTGGGGCTCGGAAGGTCATCATAGACCACCAGCTTCATGGGAGGCACGAGATGAGGTTGAGTATGACATATCCTCATCTCTCGTTCGACACCCGGATCTGAAGCACATTAGAGTCTGTTGATAACATATACCTCAGGGAGAGGAATACATACCCTTCGACTTCATTGCTTGCTGATAATGTGAGCTCTCAACATCACCTTCAGGGCGCAGACAGGACAAGCAGGACGCAATCCAGCCAGTGAATACGGATCCTGCTTGTTCAATTGCCAGCCTCATCGCCGTCCGAGCTTCAAAGCTGTTGCTCCATCACCTCTTGGGAGATACAGACAGAGCTGAAAGGGTCACGAAACAATAAGGTGTTAAAACGTGAAAGATAAAGAATGAATGACGACAAGCACAACGGTAACAGACAGGCCAGCTGATATTCACCACCCCAAAGTTCGAGAGAGGCTGGGAGCTCTCGTCCAACGACTCGATTCACTCTCAACCAACGAGAATACCCCTGCCTGGGGTAGGTCCATCCATCATATACATAGGGCCCTTAGGCAAAGCGACAACATGCACGCAGCTCAGGATGAAACGGGATAGCGATCCTGCATGATGCAGCTCCATCTAACCTGATTCAAATATCATCCGCTGCGCTAAGCAAGCTGTTATCAACTGATAATTTCCCACGAGGCTCAAAACAAGGTCGTCAGAACCAGTCACAACGGTTTGCGGGACACCATCCCAAGTAGCGTGTTGGATCGTTGATCATTGCTCAGGCATGATCCGCATCTCATTTGTTGGCAGCAGCAAAGTAAATCACATTGACTGGCTTGGATCGCCGACAGTTCATCCCACGACGGGCTAGAAGCGACGGTGCCTGACTGGAGTGCTGCTGGTTGATTCTCCCGCTTGAGTGGGTGGGCGGCGCGTAAAGAGGCACCGCTATTGCTCAGCCGCACAAACTAATAGGTTTCTATCACTACCACGTCGCCAGTAGACAATAATAGAAGTCATTTAGCCTTTCTCTGTTTGACCGCTGTCTTTCCTATCATCAGCTTTCTGGCCAATGATGCCTGATTACTGCGTGCTTAGCGAAAATGGCGGTCTCGTTTTGCAGGCTTTAGCTGTCGCTCAATCGTATCCCGTATATTCAATTGCCAAATGGAAAATAATATATCTTAAAACATTTGTTTGAAGACCCAGAATGATCAATCGCAGGTCGTCCCGTCATTAGCCGTTTGGCATCAGTTGAAGTTAACCTCATTAATCTATTTACCCCAAACGTTCTCCTCTTCCATGCCCCCGTAGGACCAAACAGGCGTTCTCGACTCTTCTTCTTCGGATTCTTCGGGCTCTTCAACAGCTTCTGTGTTTTCATTAGAGGTGCCCCCGCCCTCTGCAGGTGATGCTGTGTGGTTCTCCTCGTCGGCTGGTTTACCGGACGGCCTCCTGAATGTGAAATGATTAATGCTGTTTTCCAACGAATTCTGGAAAGAACCGAGTACTTACTGAAAGACTTTGTTTTCTGGCTCGACCGTTGTGGAACCAAAAGCTCTCTGGACTTGCGCCCGTTCTTCCTCCTCAGCCTCTCGGTCTTCAACTACGAGGTCAACCAACTGGCTGCGATGGGAACCTTGGGATGTCAAGGAGCTTGAACCGCGTTTGAGGGAAGGCGACTCGTGACTGCCGTTTCGTCGGGTGTGACTCGAGCCGTTGCGGTCATCCCGCTGCTCACTTTTCGCACTCATCGTACGAAATTTCCGGTGCTTTCGGGCTCTCTTCACTGGCTCAGCCGCTTGCTCGACATTCTGGTAGGTTGTGGTACTCGGTAAACGTTGATCTCTTGGAACTACGTTGGCTGTAATCACGGGGTACTGGAAAGAGTCAGCTCGCCACTTTGTTCTTCGTCGTCAAGGTGGGCAAGATTTACATTCCAATCCCCAAACTCTAACCCACGAGCTTTGCTAAACAATTCCTCGTCGTCTGGATCCAGAGTGGTTGCTTCAATATCGCTATTTGAACGGAAACGCTCCAGAGCACTGCTTCTCCGACTCCGGTTACTCGATTCTGCATCAGCCAGTAGAGGAGTTCGACTGTTGACCTCTCCTGGCTTGGGAATCCAGTACTTTGCCTTTCCGCCTCGCTCGTACCGCATTCCGTCCATCACGCGTTTGACTCGAGACTTAGACTCGGCGTGCGGGATGATGTGATCGCCGGAATCAAATAGCCTGTACTCGTAGTTCTCACCCCGAAGAGTTATCTTCGTGTCTTCCACCAAATCTTTGGCTCCAAAGGCATCTCGAAGCGCATACACAACCGGCATCCGAGCGGCAGAAATGGTTGGATCCGCATAGTCGTGCCAGGAGAAGGCGTACCAATGGGTGATGGCGAAAATGGGCATTTCAAAACAGATTAAGGTATCCTGTATTGCTGCAGCGAGGTTGTCCGGTGTGTATCCTGCCACACCATTCGACAGGGCTCCTAACCACTGCAAAATGGACAAGAAGAAGCCTTGCCAATAGGAGGCAAAGATGATGAGTTTGACGCAGAGAAACTTTGGAACCGGCCGAAATGGCGCCAAGTCGTTGTGCAAGCAGACCCAGAACATTGCGAGAGAGTAAAGGCTAACAGTGACGCTGACATTGTACACGATACCTGTCCAAAGGTAACCAGACTCCAGGCCGAGGTAGCCCTCTTGGTAGGTATCAGTCGCTTTCATTATTATTGAGGCGATGGCCAAAATAGGTTTCAGCCATGTATACTGGAGGATCCCGCGCTTGACAGCCAGGAATGTGTGGGGATCGGAGATATCCACCTTCGGAAGGAAGTGATTCAGGGGCCACGCATGAGATACAGGAGGACGTCCATGTGTCATGATGATCAAAGCCCGTTCGCCGCCGAGAAAGTTGATGAGTAGCTGGAAGAATGTGTAGATGGTGAAAGCCTAAAGAGCAGACGTCAACACCAAGGCGCAATTGAACAGACCCATCTGCTATACCTCGTAGACATCGCGAATAGGATCTAGCCAAAGAGATGCTCGCCGTGAAACGATGCTCGACCAAGAAGCAACCGCATATATTGGAACCCTAGGCAGTATGAGCTCATAGTCTCTCGATTAGGAGCAAACACCAACATCAAAAGTATGCGAACGACGTATCGTTGGAGCAGCGGTTTCCGGTAATTTTTACTGTGGACGAGTCAGCGCATAGCTGATGAGCTCGAAAGGAACTTATCGCACGTCTGGAGCCATATCGACCTAGTTGGGAAGAACAGGTCATGTTAGCTTATCGATACTTGAGTTAATAGCTATTAACGGCAAGCTACATGTGATACTCACAAAAGTGACAGCATTGAAGCTACCAATGCAGAGACGCCAGCAACTATCACCACAGCTCGAGCCAGCCTCGACCCTGTACCACCAGAAGAAGAGCCTGCCGTCATTGTCGAGAGTACTCCGCGGTACATGACCGCGTTTCGTTGATTGCCTGAGTCTACCCGCAAAGCATGCTGCAACCTAGCGGAGATAACAAAATTATCAAAACATGATCCTTCAAAGATAAAAGGTGCTGATCTTCGAGAAAACAAGATCACGAGCAAGATATTTCTTGAGATATGGCTCGTGGTCGAAAAACAACAAAGGACGAAGCTGTCTGACTAGCTAGATAACCTAAAGAAATCCAGACGAAGTCCCGTGCCGCATTGCGTATGCAGGAGGGATCAAAGACACCGCCTAGCCTCATCAATTCAACGCCGAGGGAGAACCTCTCAACGACGCGAGGGTTGAGCACTATGGTTTGCTAAGGTACGAATGAAACAATCTCAGTTGATCCGATGAGGCCGTGTCGGAGCCTCCTTCCCACCATTTGTCCGGTTCATTCGAGAAGAGACCCCTCGCTCTGCTAAGTCGCCATGTTTGCGGCCATCGGCGCACCAGATTAGGAAGAGATGGCCAGCACAAGCACGAGCTTGACAACCCTATCTATAACCCCCGATCCTAGCTTTAACTGGTGAGGAATGTGATGGCTATCAGACATTGACATTGACTAATAATATCCAAGGTTCTTCCTCCTTGAGCTTATCGTATCTTGCATCTTGTATCTTTCCCAATATTGCCCCCGAGGAAAGGCCAATTGCTAATTAGATGAGCAGGGTGCTGTTTTTCCTGCTCTACTTTAATCGTCTCTTCGCAACTCTCCTATCGTACGCTATCCGCGCCTATACTTGGCACTACTATCGCGCATATGTCGACATTCATGCGCTCCAGATCTCGCTACTCGGAGGTAGGATCTTCTGGAAAGGTATCCGATACCACGGGGTGAACGAGACCATCTTTGTGCACGGAGGATTCATAACATGGCATTATTGGAAGCGTACAGTCAGAAAGACTGATCTGTCCTTGCTGAGTTCGCGCAATGAAAGGACGCCGGCCGGATCTCAACGCCCCGATACTCCGAGCTTAGACAAGGCTAGCAGGGACAATGGCGAAGGTGAACAGGGAGGCCAGAAAGGAGCGGGCAACCTTCCCTGTCGTATTACAATTCAGTTCTACGGTCTAGAGTGGTTTATATACAACCGGACGCCGGCCTACGACAGTATTCTTGCCGGGTTTGGCCAACCTGTTGACTGCGATGATCCGACAGCTCCGCCGAGTCCTACCAAACCGCAAGGAACAGGAAGAGATTCGTCGGAGCCGCGATTGAAGGAAACCAATCAGGCAAATGGCACGGAAAGGAGAGAGTCACAAAATGTGGCTGAACCTGCACAAGAGATAGGGGAGAGTCTGTCGAGGCTGCTCCGACTCCTGCCACTCAAAATCGCGTGCGATAAGGGGGCCATTGTCATTGGAAATGAAAACACAAGATCAGTCTTGACCACCACCTTTGACAGTGGAACTGGTCTCATAGAAGCCTGCAATGCCAGCCCGTACGATCTTTACCGGCAGGTCTTTTCTTTTCAGATCAACCATCCTGTTATACAAATGCGGCCCAACCCAGATTACAAGCAGAGTCAGCTCGCTGCTGCTGATGGACTAAGTTCAAAAATTGATGACAAAACAGGCAGGCAGCGCAAAAGAGACACCATTTTTAATTACCAATTCCAGAAACGACGGGCATGGCACAGTATACGGGACCTCATTCCCTACTTCCAGACTTCAGTCGAGTCATTTCATAATCACAACAAAAACATAAACGCGCCTAGAAACCAGACAGGCGCTCGGAACGATGCCCGTTGGGTTGGTCTATCCCGGTATCTGGACGATAGTACGCAAGACGACCATGAAGAATGGCATTCTGTTGAGTATGGAAGATTCTCAACACTTGTTGATAGCCCGAGCATGGCCATCTCCTACTATTGGGATATTCCCGGATGCGTTGTGCCTCACCAAGACCCATGGAAGATGTCAATTTCTGCGGCGTCCTCAGACATAAATGGTGCGCCACCACCAGAATGGGGCATCGACATCAAGTTGGATGGGGGAACTATCAACTACGGGCCTTGGGCCGATAGGGAGCGTGTCGGCTTGCAGAACGTGTTTTTCCCGAACACCTACCGCAGCTCCCAGACCTCCGAACCATTAGCCCCTGGTGACCTAAGAAGAAACACAGTCTTCAAAATGAGACTGGAGATGAGCCAAGAGACAACCTTGCGCATCCCGACGAGGGAGCCTTCAAAAGACTGGCTGTGGAAAGGCCGAGCTGATGCAATCAGAGGAGCTCCGAAACTAAAGAAGCAACAAAAGAGAAGACAATCGCGCCCTACGGAAGGTGATAAAAGTAACCTTGGCCCTGACATCCGTCCATTTGGTTGGCTGTCTCTCCGCGTCGCTGGTGACTCCACCGTCACTTATACTATGGACATGGTGGCCTCGACTACAAGCGGATTCAACAATTTACTCGATCTGGATCTTCGAGATTCAAGACTGTCCTCCAGTGTCAACCATGCATTGCTGTGGCAATGTCCTAGGCAGCTTGTCACCTGCGATCTCTCTAACCCCCTTTCCTGGAACAGTCTTCGTACATGGAACTTCGATGTTGAGAGTCATAACATGGAGCTGTTTTTGTTGCGCGATCACATATTCCTTCTTACTGATCTCGTGAGTGATTGGGCCTCTGGGCCCCCACAGGAATACTTCATTTTCGTGCCATTTACCTATACTCTCAACTTGTCCTTCGTCGATTTCAAGCTTTTTCTTAACGTCAACGACCTCAACATCATAAGCAATCCCTCCGACCTAGATGACAACCGGATGCTGGTTATCAAGGGCAAGAAGCTGACATCTGATATCTTGATTCCTTTGACAACATACAAGCCCGAGCAAAGCGCCGTCAAATTCAACGTTTATCTCGACGGTGGTGGAATAGACTTCTTGTCACCGCAGTGGGATACTCTGCACACATTTCTGCAAGATCGATCAATTGCCACGCTCGATGGTCTTTCCCTCGGAGGCTCATACAATTATTACCTTTCAACAGCGCCAGATCTCACCGACACTTTGTTGCTCAGTATTGATGGTGTTTCACCTAAGCTCTATCTATATGGATTCTTGATCAAAAGTTTCATGACGATAAGGGAAAATTATTTCGGAGAAGAAATGCATTTCAAAACGCTTGAAGAATTTCAAGAACTGGCATACTCCGAGGACCGAGTTAATTTTCACAATGGAATTAATCCGAACCGAAAGTCGAATGACCTCGATGTTATCGTTCATGTGGCCGTTGATGATGCTTGTGCCCTTCTGCCGGAGAATATTTATGATCGCTTGAAATGCGTTAGGCTCACAGCTCCCTCCTTGGAGGTTGACTTGCGGTTTACCAACTACTACATGGATCTTCAATTCTCAATTTCACCCCTGAAAGCAGCTCTGCAGGTGCATATGGCTGAAGGACCAGGCATCATATCTGATCCGCAGCTGTTCCTTGACGGAGCTTTCATCCACGGGCATCGACTATTTGGCCTGCCTCCTTCGGAACCGACCTATGTTTGCAACTGGGACTTTGAAGTAGGGCAAATCCTTGGCGAATGTTCGGCGGAATTCTTGGGCTGCTTAGCTGCAGCTTTACAGAGCTTCGATCAGTCTTTCGATAACGAAGAAAATGCTCTTCCGCCGTTGGTTCCCATTGCGCTCCATGATGTCACCTTCCTTCGTGCCAAAATCCAACCAATTCATATTTCGGTGTTGTCAGACCAAGCGGTGTTGATGCTCAGCTCAGGGCCTATCACAACTAACTTCAACGACTGGGCAAATGCATCATTTTCAAAACGCATGAGCCTTCTTGTACCCGATCTCTCCATCGCTGCAGTTAACTGCGGGGACATTGACCCGAAAGGAAGTTCGCCGCCGGCAGATGTATCTCCCCTTGCGCTTTTTCAGACAACGGTCAAACTCAGAATGGCACAGCGGAGGGCTGATATCAACGACGGTAGGAAATTGCAACAAGAACACATCGGCGTGCACGACCAGAGGACTCAAAGAACGCCATGGCTCATGTTTGATTGGGAGGATCTTGGCCCTAGTTCGTTTCGCACTCCAAATGATCAACTTGCTCCTCCAACAATTGCCATACCTTCCATGCCGGAGCCTATTATTAAGCAACCTCATATGTTATCCTCCTCAGTGGACAGTCTCTCCGATTCCAGGAGCCAGCAAAGCTCAAGGAGCTTCGTCTTGCCTTCAGATAGTTCGAGCGTTAGAAGTGGGAGAGGACGAACGAGGCGCAAGAATAGGTCTTTACGAAATCAACACGAAATAGGGAGCGATCGAAAACTCGAGCAATGGATTGATAAGGATGCTCGAGACATATCAACATACTGCGAGGCCAGGGAATTTCTGAGGGCGCTCTATACAACAAAGAGCACCGAGTCCTCGAGTGCCTGGACAATTCCCAAATTCTCTCTTCACAAGATCTCCTTAGATAGTTCGCAGCTTCCCACAAGACGAATTTCAGATGGGGATGTTTCTCGAGATGGAGAGTTCGTTGCAAAATTCGATCCTCTATTCTCACCGTTCGACGAGGACAGAGTAACTCACACGAATTTTTTATGCGAGTTGCCCTCAGGAATTAGAGGCGCTTGCTCACCTGAGTTCCTATTCCTGCTATCATCGTTGATCGAGCAACTGCAACCAAGTCACCCGATTGAGATAATCGATTCGCTGCAGAAAGAAGTCATATCCGACATTGTTGGTTATGATAAGTCAATGAAACAACCGAAAAAATCCACAAGCTTTGCGATTCGGGCCCCATTCATAGTTGCGAAAATGGTCAACGCTTCTGACTCCTCTGTGAAACATGAAGTTGGGTTTCGAGATGAGTACAGCATCGAGATTTCCAACCTAAGGACAGAATTTCGAACGAGGATTGAAAGACAGAAAGGCGATCTTCTAGCCGGAATCAATAAAAAATTCACCGCCCATGCTGCAGCCCAGAGTCTCACGGTATTTGTCGAGGGCGGCCGCTCGGATGCGTTTCAGGAGAAAGCTGGGTTCAAATGCCTTCTTAGCGACTTGAACTTTTGGCTGGTGACAGCACCCATCACCAGATCTAGCTTTCAGATTCGTGCCTTTGATACCGTCAGCTCCACGAAATCGGTGGAGCAACTTGCTGTCCTCGTTCGTCGGGCAACAACTATGTTTGATACTGTGGCCTCATATTTTGAACATAGCTCCTCTGTTGGCAGCAAGCGACTTCGCTTTCTAATATATTCCCTTACCCCATCGGCGGGAGCCATCCCGGACCCTGCGTTCCTCACTCGCATTTCGCATGTTCTTAGGGTTGCTCCCACTCATTTACGACAGCACGATTCATGGAAAATCATTTCTCGGATTCGCAATGTCTACAATCATCTACCAGTACATCAACAGCGAGACTTGGTTTTGAAATGCTCGAGCGACAATATCTCGATTCCTGATAACGCGGAGGCTACTGTATTGTCAGGTTTCGACCAGTGGCGTGCCTGGGACTTGGCACATGTACAGAAGAGTTATGTGATGCGAAAGATCTGGAACACATCAGAGCCGGAGCTGTCAGATACACCGACAGCAATAGCATCGTCCCTTACAGTCAGAAACTTTCGCTTCACCATTGATCCTGGACCGAAAGAGAGTGACTTTGTCGTTGAGCATTTGTCATCTGCGTTGTCTATCAGCCCGCAGCAGGGCTTGCCCGTTTTACTTGACAAGAAATCGAAGAGCGTGGTCGTCTCGCAGACTTATTGCTCATCTGTTGGCCTCCACCTGCGGTGGGAAATTCTCGATCTTGTTGATGGTGTGTTAAAGATGTTGTCTTCGGTCAAACGAGAGTCGGCATCTTCTGCTCAGGCATCCAATGATCGACCCTTGAAAGACAACGAGCTACAACTCATTTTCGGGGTTGGCTCCGGTTCCATAACACTGGACGGCATCAACGTCAAACTAGCAATGCATAGCAGGGCCCTGAGGAGCTCGATCGTCCGCAAATCAAATGAGGCGGAGAAGCCCGAGGCCCTAAGTGTATTACTCAGTGCTCAGATGTGCTCCGCTGAACTATCTAGTCTTTCCAAGGCTCTGATGGCTTGGAACATCAGCGATCCGTATATATACTCTTCGCGCATCACGGAAGAGAAAAGGAAGGAACTGACTCACCACTGGAAGATTGCTGGGGCTTGCAGGAAGCTGCGATATGATATGAAAGAAGATCCCGTGAGCCTCGCGCACACAGCGGATCGAGTGATAGCTGATGAGGTCCGGTACTTTCATCGGCTTGCTAAGAACCTCGGTGACTCTCGGCCGGGCACGAGCACGGTGGTGGAGAAATCAGCTTCCAATAGCTTTCATGTCGCAATGTTCTTGGACGATTATCGGCTGAGTTTCTGTATTCTACCCTCTTTGACCTACGCAATTGCTGGCAAGGTGGCACGAATGTCAGTCATGCCCAGGACGGAAACCAAGATCGAGGTCGATTTCGACCTCAAGAAGAATTCTCACACCTTCTACTCGAATGAAGGGGACGGGCGCCGCGCTTTGTCGCAATTAGAGATACCACCCATCAATGGGCGGGTTATGGTCAACATGCCGTCCAGCGGCATGGAGGTGGACGTCGATACAACTATTGAACTTATTCAGTTGGAGGCAAGTGCTGTGCGGAGTCTCCTGGGTACTTTAACAAAACCCGAAGTTTCCCACTTGGTGTCGGATCTTAAGCAGAATGCCGAAGTCTTGCAGCTGCATCTCGAAGAAGTTCTGGCTCTCAATAAATCTTCTCACCAAAAAGAAGCGCTTTCTGCCGAGCGTGGTCTCCTCTACAGGGCTCGTTTATCCATGGCAGGAACGAAAATTCATGCTACTGCTCCAGGTCTCAATGGTAAGGAATACTCCGCTGATATGGACTTGAATTTGGGAATGATACGCATGCGACTCGACAATGGGTTGGACCAAGGGCGTCCGATGGAGTTCCCGGAATTTAATATCGACGCTTCGAATATCCTCTTTGATTTGAAGAAACGTGAAGCATCTCAAACTCGTTCGTTCTGCAGTATTGCTGTGGAAGCTAAACTTCAGGGGACGTCCGTGACACGTGAAGATGGGGAGGCCAGGCGAGCGTATCATCTGAACAGCAAGAGGTTCGACATCGAGCTCTTTTCCGAAACGGCAGCCCTGGTTGTTGATATTGCTAGCCATCTTCAGGATCGCATCAAGACCCTCGACTTATCTCACGAGGTCAAGCGACTGAGAAAATTACGCCGCCGTGGCCATGCAGAGTTGACCGCTCAAGCCCCGGAGATCCCAAAGATCAAGATCAGCGATGAGACAATTCCAAATGACTTATTCAGGGACATGTATTCATTGGATTTGAACAATATTCAGATCGGATGGAACATGTCCACCTTGCCGCAGCATAGATCGGGGCGCAGGCCTGATGATCTGGTTTTCAGTATCAAGCGCGTGGATCTGTCAAATAGCAGAACCAATGCCGCCAAGCTTCGAATTGAAGGCATGCAATTACAGATGGTGCCAGCTTCTGGGGATCGGCGGAAGCGTTCGCTTAACTCCGCGCTCATGCCTGAATTGGTGTTCAATGTGGCATATTCTTCAAACGAAACGGAGATTCTGCTGGCCCTCCAGGCCGCTGGAAAGTCGCTCGACGTGCGAGCAACATCTGACTTCATCCTCCCAGCCAGCATGATACGGGATTCAATCGCTTCTGCTAGCCAAATTATACGTGACGCGGATTCTGTCTTGGTTGCGAAGCCAAACGTCGAAAGCAACAAGCAGCGTTCTCTCTTCGGAAACAAACGTCTACGCTCCGTACTAGTAGACGTTGACTTTGCGGGAGCTATTCTGTCTCTTCAGAGCAAATCCACCGACGACCAACGGACATTGCTGACTGCATCTTGGACGGGAAGTCGCCGGCCGGAAGCTAAGTATGGGCAGTACGTCCATGGAGATGCAGCAACCACTGCGACACTCAGAGCCCCTGGGGTGGCGGTCAAGGTTCAATTTGAGGACAATGGCAAGGATGTGTCCGCGTTGAACGCTGAATTAAAGATTGATGCCTCGACAAATGTCCTATACCCGTCGCTTGTTCCTGTAATAAAGCAGATGACCGCCGCCATCAAGGAGGTCATGGAAGGCCACGACAAGCCAAGGAAACCATCCAGTGCCGCCATGTTACAGCCGCAGAAACTAATGCAGGAGACCCCGTTTGACACGAAAGATGCGGCCTCGATTCTTGGCCGTTGCAAGGTGAATGTCGGGGTTTTGATTCACAAACAGGAGTTCAGCCTTAGCTGCCAGCCCATCGCTAGAGTAGCGGCCACGGCAGGCTTCGAGAGCGTCTACATAACGGTCAACACGGTGCAATCCGATGAGCAGGGACGATTCTTGGCGCTTCTGGTAGCTTTCAATTCCTTGCAGGCATCAGTCAAGCATGTGTACTCAAACGAGTCGACTGCGAGCTTTGACGTGAAGTCCATCGTCATGTCTCTCATGAATAGCAAACATCTGGGCAGTTCGAAAGGCATTTCGGTTGTGCTTCGAGTCAGTCCGATGCAAGTGACGCTTAACGCAAAGCAAGTTCAAGACCTTCTCCTCTTCCGTGAAATCTGGGTTCCTTCCAACGAAGAGACGAAAGGCGGCAGGACATTTCAGCCGGAGTCAAACGAGCCTCAGGCTTACATCGTCCAGCGTTACCAACAAGTGGCAGCAGCGCCAGCATTTCCGTGGAATAGTGCGGTTGCGATTGAGAAGCTAGAGATTCAGCTCGATCTGGGCTCTACGCTTGGAAAGGCACAGTTTGCAGTCAACGATTTGTGGCTGTCGTCGAGGAAGACATCTGATCGAGAACAATCACTCAGCATTGGTTTCAAGTCTACTGAGATAGAAAGTAAAGGCCGGATGAGCGGGTCGGTCGAGCTCCAGACACTGAAGATTCGCACATCCATTCAATGGCCGGACGAGAAGCCCAATGTGCATTCTGTTCCACTCATTCAGGCCTCCATCTCTTTCCAACAGCTGCAAGCCAAGGTCTCTTTCGATTACCAACCGTTCCTGGTCGCCAATATCTCAATGTTCGATTTCCTAATGTACAATGTCCGAGGCGGCAATGGTGCGCCTAAACAGCGGCTCTTCAGCATTCTAGAAGGAGATAAAGTGCAAGTATTCTGTACTAGCTTGACTGCGTCGCAATGTCTGGCGCTGATCCAAGGCTGGCAGCGGCTGGCCCAAGACAAGCAAGCAGCGTACGAAGCATCACTGCGCGAAGTCGAGAGATACCTGCGCAGGAGGACATCGGTGTTTACGGAGAAAATAGAACCCCAAGCCAAGGAGTTGGCCAAGAAGGCGAAAGACACCAACGCTGAGAAGGCGCCTATATCTCTCAACACTGGGGTTGTCGTGAGCATCACCGACGTCAATCTCGGTGTTTTCCCGAGCTCTTTCTTCGATAACCAGATTTTCAAACTTGAGGCACACGATGCACAGGCACGGTTCTATGTCTCGCTCAAGGAGGGCAAGATACATAGTGCGCTTGGGCTCACACTGGGCCAGCTGCGTGTCGCTCTTTCGGCCGTCAACCGTCCCACATCTACGGATACTGAGGATCTCCTAGTCAATGAGATAGTCAGTCGCGCCATAGGGTCTCGCGGAGGAACGATCCTCAAAGTGCCTCGGCTTATGGCTAGTATGGAGACTTGGCAGACCCCGGGCCTTCCACAGATAGAGTACATCTTCCGCAGTACTTTCGAAGGCAAGGTGGATGTCGGATGGAACTATTCGCGCATCAGTTTCATTCGGGACATGTGGGAACGCCATTCCCGTGCGTTGACGTCTCGACTCGGCAAGCCGCTGCAGCCGTCGGCGGTTCGCATCACTCGAGGACCGGGGCCGGAGGGAGAGGGGGATAAGCAAGAGGAGAAGATTACAGCGGTGGTCAATGTACCCCAGTCCAAGTACACATATACGGCCTTGGAACCACCAGTGATCGAAACGCCCCAGCTACGGGATATGGGCGAGGCCACCCCACCGTTGGAGTGGATTGGGCTCCAACGGGACAAGCTGCCCAACATCACGCATCAGATCGTTATTGTGACGTTGTTGGAGATTGCAAAAGAAGTGGAGGATGCATACGCGAAGATTTTGGGATCGTCATGAGCATTGTTCGAATTGTTCCCTCCACATGGCCGTTGGTCACTGTATACGCTGGGGCTGATGTTTGACAACCACAGATGATACATCGTCTTAATAGGCCATCTGACATGCTCTTCTAGGAGCTCTCGAGATTGATTCCGAGTCCATGATAGTCTACCTGCATTGTACACAATGTCTAATACTGTATATAATTTAATATCAACTTATCAATAATGATCCATCGACCTGCGTGGAGCTGCTAAGGCACATTTGAGATGACTGAATGTGGTAAGCTACGTAACGCAGGGAAATATCAAGCTACGAGCTCGTTAATTCCTAACTCCGCGTCTGAATAAATTAAGCGGTGAGGTGGGGCAAGTTCTTGCTCACAAGCTCTCATTGGTTGCTGAGCATCTCTTTCCTGAAAAATTTTCATGCTTTTCTTTCCGACCTCAATGGAGCTAACTATATTCAGTAAGCGGGGTATCTTTAGCTTGCATTTCGAAACGACTAGGTAACAGTAATCGACAAAGCAAGTGGGCTGATGAGGCGTAAGGTAACTCTGATACAGACACTGAAATAATCGTGATATCAGTGTCTTGGACCCAACGCCACCCTTCAAATGCCCTCTACAAAAGGACAGAGTTTAGAAGCAGCATCAAAAATGGGTAGCTAGCTCTGATGAAGCTTTAAAGCTAGAGCTGTAGCTAGACGAGTCACAATGTGACTCAAGCGAAGGGAAGAACCACGGTGGAAGAGCTCTGGCAAGTCTGGCAACTCAGTTCATAGGTCATCCACAAGGGAAGGAATATAGTGCGAGTCAACTGGTCAATTCCTCTAGTCAGTCATTATATCAGTACGAATTTGCCATTATTGTCCATGGCTCGGTTGATGATTGCTAAGCTCTGATAATATTACATGGTATAGAGTAGTGATGAGGGGCAACATAGGTACCTAAGGTATCAACCTCCAGGGCTTTGTAGGCTGTAAGACGACAGGAAAAATCTGAGGGGGCAATAATAATAATGGCAGGGCAACAGTACGGAACGAAAAACGCACATCCCAGATTTCAAAATCAGAGGGTAAGAAAAAAGAGTTCTCTTGCACAAATAATATTGCAGCGTCCCCACCCGCCGTCCTTCCTCGCTTTCCCTCCCTCTTTTTCCCCTCTTCCCACCACCACCGCACTTCAACTTCCTTTTTCCCACCTCAGCCCGCTTCTTGAGCAGCGCACATAGGTCCTTTACGTCCTATTCAATTTCTGCTATCAGGTCGAGCTAGTCCTCGATCCTGATCATCTGTGTGTCGTTTGTTCCTTGCTTTTGACTTTTCTTTTTCTTTCCCTCTACCTTTTCACCTTATCTCACCACCCCGCCTCTACGGCTTAAAAAGAAAAAACCGTCAAAATGGTTAAGTAGGTTCTCACTCTTTCTCTTGACGTTACTCGAGCCTCGAGCAACGAAGACTATATTCTGGATGGGATGAATGAAGATTGCTAACATGCTGTTTATAGCTTCACTATCGAAGAGGTTCGTTGATCCCCGCGCCGAGTTTGCCAAGCTCACTCTTAAGAGAGAGCAAGAAGAGCAGAACAGAGCTACGAGATGAAGGAAAAAATCTAACTATGAGCAGATCCGGTCCCTCATGGACCGTCCGGCCAACATCCGGAACATGTCCGTCATTGCTCACGGTACGTAGCTTCGCGAAGAGGAAAAGAAGACAGGAATTTTCTTGATTACAAATACTGAGAAATATTGGGATTATAGTCGATCACGGAAAGTCGACTCTGACCGACTCCATGATCCAGCGTGCCGGTATCATCTCGGCTGCTAAGGCCGGTGAGGGTCGTTACATGGACACTCGACCCGATGAACAGGACCGTGGCATTACCATCAAGTCGACTGCCATCTCMCTGTATGCCAAGTTCCCCGACCCGGAGGATCTCAAGGAAATCCCCCAGAAGGTCGATGGTGCCGAGTTCCTGGTCAACTTGATCGATTCGCCCGGTCACGTTGATTTCTCCTCTGAGGTCACTGCCGCTCTCCGTGTCACTGACGGTGCCCTGGTCGTCGTCGACACTGTTGAGGGTGTCTGTGTCCAGACCGAGACCGTCTTGCGTCAGGCCCTGACCGAGCGTATCAAGCCTGTCCTGATCATCAACAAGGTCGACCGTGCCCTGCTCGAACTTCAGGTTAGCAAGGAGGATCTCTACCAGTCCTTCTCTCGTACCATCGAGTCCGTCAACGTCATCATCTCCACCTACCATGACAAGGCTCTTGGTGATGTTCAGGTCTACCCCGACCGCGGTACCGTTGCTTTCGGTTCCGGTCTCCACGGATGGGCTTTCACCGTCCGCCAGTTCGCCGTCAAGTACGCCAAGAAGTTCGGTGTTGACCGTAAGAAGATGCTTGAGCGTCTCTGGGTGAGTGGAACCATTTCCCCAGAAGCAAAACATAACCAGCTAGCTAACACGTTTCATAGGGTGACAACTACTTCAACCCCAAGACCAAGAAGTGGACCAAGACCGGTGAGAACGATCAGCGTGCTTTCAACATGTTCATCTTGGACCCCATCTTCAAGATCTTCGCTGCTGTCACCAATGACAAGCAGGAGGAGATCCTCACCCTCGTTGAGAAGCTCGAGATCAAGCTTGCGAACGACGAGAAGGACCTCAAGGGCAAGGCTCTGCTCAAGGTCATTATGCGCAAGTTCCTGCCCGCCGCTGATGCCATGTTGGAGATGATCTGTATCCATCTGCCCTCTCCCGTCACTGCCCAGAAGTACCGTGCGGAGACTCTGTACGAGGGTCCCATGGACGATGATTGCGCTATTGGTATCCGTGACTGTGACCCCAAGGCTCCTCTCATGCTTTACGTCTCCAAGATGGTTCCCACCTCTGACAAGGGCCGTTTCTACGCTTTCGGTCGTGTCTTCGCCGGTACTGTCAAGTCCKGTCTTAAGGTCCGCATCCAGGGTCCTAACTATGTCCCTGGCAAGAAGGAGGATCTCTTTATTAAGGCCATCCAGCGTACCATTCTGATGATGGGTCGTTTCGTTGAGCCCATCGAAGATGTTCCTGCTGGTAACATCGTTGGTCTGGTTGGTGTCGACCAGTTCCTGCTCAAGTCTGGTACCCTCACCACCTCCGAGACCGCCCACAACCTCAAGGTCATGAAGTTCTCCGTCTCTCCTGTCGTCCAGCGTGGTGTTGAGGTCAAGAACGCCCAGGATCTGCCCAAGCTGGTCGAAGGTCTCAAGCGTCTGTCCAAGTCTGACCCTTGTGTCCTGACTTTGATCAACGAGTCTGGTCAGCACATTGTTGCCGGTGCCGGTGAGCTGCACCTTGAAATTTGCTTGAAGGATCTCGAGGAGGACCACGCCGGTGTCCCTCTCCGTATCTCGGACCCTGTCGTCTCCTACCGTGAGACTGTCGGCGCTGAGTCCAGCATGACCGCCCTGTCCAAGTCTCCCAACAAGCACAACCGTCTCTACGTCACTGCTCAGCCCCTCGGCGAGGAGGTCTCCCTCGCCATCGAGGCCGGCAAGATCAACCCCCGTGACGATTTCAAGGCCCGTGCCCGTGTCCTCGCTGACGACTTCGGCTGGGATGTTACCGATGCCCGTAAGATTTGGTGCTTCGGTCCCGACACCACCGGTGCCAACTTGCTGGTTGACCAGACCAAGGCCGTCCAGTACCTCAACGAAATCAAGGACTCTTTCGTCTCTGGTTTCCAGTGGGCCACTCGTGAGGGTCCCATTGCTGAGGAGCCTATGCGCTCTATCCGCTTCAACGTCCTTGACGTGACCCTGCACGCTGATGCCATCCACCGTGGTGGTGGTCAGATCATCCCCACTGCTCGTCGTGTCCTGTACGCCGCTACCCTGCTTGCCGAACCTGGCCTCCAGGAGCCCATCTTCAACGTCGAAATCCAAGTTCCCGAGCAGGCCATGGGTGGTATTTACGGTGTCCTCACCCGCCGTCGTGGTCACGTCTACACCGAGGAGCAGCGTCCTGGTACCCCTCTGTTCAACGTCAAGGCTTACCTGCCTGTCGCCGAGTCCTTCGGTTTCAACGCCGATCTCCGCCAGGCCACCGGTGGTCAGGCCTTCCCTCAGTCCGTCTTCGACCACTGGGCTATTCTTCCTGGTGGTTCTCCTCTTGACCCCGCTACCAAGCCTGGTCAGATCGTTACTGAGATGCGTAAGCGCAAGGGTCTCAAGGAGCAGGTCCCTGGCTACGACAACGTAAGTTTCTGGTACACTGATCTCACTTAAATACGTTGCTAACACTTTGCACAGTACTACGACAAGCTGTAAAAATGTTCCATACCCGCCTGATATGTTTTCAGTCAGTCCTGACTGCAAATATATGTTTATGAGATTGACGAACCCTCTACATTGTCTATGAAAAGACAAGGAAAATTCAATGAGCAAAATTTCAAAACGAGACACAACACGGGCTTGGTTCATGTCGTATGTGGGTTTTCGAATACCTAGAGAAGTAGAATCCAGGTGTGCGCGTGCATTCGCTATGGCTTCCTATAATCTATTTGTTACGTTTACGACTGCGAGGGCTCTTTAAATAGTTTACTTGCTGTTCTTTGCTTGGACATGAAAAATTTCATTCAGTAGTTCAAATATCTCTGCTTTCATCACATTGTAGATTCCTCTGTAGATTCGATTCCTCCTCTAGATATTTTCCGCACGCTCATCACGTGACTCCACCGTCATCCGCGTCGTTCGCGTTTCCCCAGCTTCGAGACGCAAGGCTCTGTCCCACACCCCTCATCTTTTACCTCGCACGATGACCTAGATTGACCTCTCGATATTGCTGGAGGCCTGATATCTCGAACCCCTTCTATCCAGTCGGAGACGTTCGACGACACCAATTAAGTTCGTTTTCGAACCCACATAAAACTACATTMGCACTCGTGCTCGAAAATTGCCGGAGCCTCCTCTCAGTACCGGCTCGCATTCCTACAAGAAGTCGGCTTTTCGTTTTAGCTACAAAAATGCAGCTCACC